CCAATGTCTAAAAACCACTTTTTTTTGTTGAGTTTCTTCTTTCACGTGACACACCATCAAAAGAGACACCTTTTGTTTCCTTTTCTGCAAAGTTAGTTTGATCTCCACTTTGTAATCAGTTTGACATTTTGATTTATAATGGCCATACCTATGACATCTGAAAGATTCAACATTTGACTTGTCTGCTGACTTTGATCAATAAGTTGTTGAGTGGTGGCCTCCATGTTCTCTGCCTCTTCCTTGAAATTTACTCTCTTGATGATGATGACTTTGTTGTTGGTTCCCACTTTCATTGTTGTTTCTGCCTCCTCTACCTCGACCTCTTCTTCTAGAGTTTGAGAAATGAGTATAAGTGGAAGCCTTTAAAGCTTGCTCCTCTGAAGTTGAACTTCGATTCATATTCTATTCATGGACCAGCAAGGAGCTCTGTAATTCATCAAGAGAAAATGCATCTTTATCTTTTGATTCTTCAATGGAATATACGACATAATCAAACTTTGGTGTCAGCGAACGCAATATCTTTTTAACAATGGTGACATCTTCCATCTTCTCACTATGAAAGTGCATTATTCTTCAATGGAATATACGACATAATCAAACTTTGGTGTCAGCGAACGCAATATCTTTTTAACAATGGTGACATCTTCCATCTTCTCACTATGAAAGTGCATTTTGTTACTATTCTCCATAGTTCTGGCACAATAGCTGGTAACAGATTCTCCATCATTCATTTGTAGAGTTTCAAAATCTCTTCTCAAAGCTTGAAGCTGTGCATGTTTCACTCTAGCAGAGCCTTCATATTTTTTCTTCATGGAATCCCAAATATCTTTGGAAGTTTCTTTGCTAAGAATTGTTTCCAAGATGGGACGATCAATTGCCTGGAAAAGGTAGTTTTTTACCTTCAAATCTTTGAGCTTTCTCCCTTTCAACTATGTTTTCTGGGCGTCTGTCAAGACTGTATTAGGTGTTGGTGCTTGAATTCCAGATTCAACAATCGGCCAATACTCTTTGAACCGTAGAAAATTCTCCATTAGCATACTCCAATGGTCATAGTGACCATCAAAACGTGGGATCGCTAACTGCACAAAATTTGAGTGTGAAGCCATCAATGTTGTTTGACAACTCTTTCTCTCTTGCTTTTTTCACCTGGTTCTGGTACCATTGATAAAAACAAAAGAACTAAAGGATGTTTTCTGCACTAACTGTGGAAAACAGAGGGTACACAGAAAATAATGGATAAATTTTCTGCGTTTTATTGATAAATCACCACCCTATAAATAGACAAATACATAACTGAAAGCAACATGAAAATAGGTACTATCCAACGTGCATCAGCAAACTCCTACTGACTAGGCCAACTCCTATTAACTAGGAAACAAATTAAAACAAACTATTGAACTCTTAAAGACTAGGACAACCCAAATCTTTTCTTACGTGTGCTGGTACTATTTATTTAACATGTTTTGAGATGGCAGTGTCGATTCATGCTTCCCTATGCACACGTTTAGGTTTACATTACATATTGGGTAATGATGGGCGCGGGATCCAAACCCAACAAGTTTCAATTTGACTTGACCAATTGGATTAAATTTTTTTTATAAAAAAAATTTGAGATTGGGTTGAGTTAGATTCGGATTTAAGCTAAAAAAATATTTGATCCGATCTAAAAAATAATGTAAATTTACCTTATATATGTATGAATAATTACAATAATAACTCTTTATATATTATTATTTTTTAATTAAATCCTATTTTTATTAAATAAAAATAATATTTTTTATAAATATATTTATTTTGGGTCTAGTTGAGTTCAAGTTTTATCTTAAAAAATCGGATCAGGTTCGGATCTGGTGAAGTCACCCATAAACACCAATTTAGTCGAGTTTCAAGTAAAGTTTATATATTTTCGGTTCGGATTGAATTGATCAAAAATCCGACTTGACACGACCCGACCCAGTCCATCCCCGGTGCCACTAGTGTGCTGTTCTCTCTTCGTTATTGTAATAAAAATTAGTTTTTTTCCAAAAAAAAATAAATAGGAAAAAATCAATAATTAAAATAAAAATAAAATAATTCAAAAAGTAGGGACTAAAGGAACCAATCTCAGTTCACCAATAAAGGTATAATATATACACCTTCCCTTACCACCTTAATTGTCCCGACTCTTAATCTAATGATGAATAATAATAAAAAGTTTGACATTCAACCTGTACTGCCCAGTTAAACTTTTTTTTTTTTATTAAAAAACAGGTTTAGATATCATATATCTGGGGTAGCTAGCTAACAAGCAGTCCCCAAACCAAACGAAAACGAAAACAATTGTTTACAAGGATCAATCAAAATGCTTCTCTCTCTTCTACACGATCAACGTACCAATAAAAGAATTTGAATTCTACTTTCTGCAAATATTTCTATACATGAATTAATGAAGTGAACGATGGAGATGAACAAATACTGAAACAAGAAGAAGGAAAACAGTTCCAGTAAGGCACGTGAAGCCAACAGTTGTCCCAACCAAACTCACAAGCTCAAACAACTCTTGTTTCTCCTTATATCGTTTCACCTTGTTGTAATTATTTGCATCTCCATAATTCCACCCATATTCCCATCTGCAACATCTTTCCAGCTTCTTCTTCATCTTCACCTGCTCTATTCTCTCCCTCAGTACCCTCAACTTCGCATCACCTCGTTACTTGATCTCTCTGATCACGTAGAATTTTAAATTAGATGACGGATTTCTAAAATTTAAGAGAAGACGAAAATAAATATTATAAAAACACTAAGAAAAAATATACAATATATACGATAACTTGAAAATTCCAGGGTTACTACCCTCACCCGCTCTCCGCTCGATCTATCATAATTATACCTTTCGAGTTTCAACACAAATTTAAGACCGAAAAGAAAGAAAAGAAAGAGAAGTCCAGGAAGTTATTGGTACCTCCATCTCTGCAGCTTTGGGCTCTAATGACTTGAAATGGTCGACGATTATAATGCTTCAAAGATGGAGAAAGTATGGAGAAAGATGAAGGTGATAACGAAGAAGAAGAAACCATGATATTTTTTTGATGAGGTTATATCGTTTAAGTTTCTTCAAATGCAATAATATTTGGAGGTGGCAAGAAGAAAACAATCTACTTGGGTTATATTATATATAAAAAAATGTTTTTTTTGGGGACCAAATTTAAGGAATAATGTGATTGGAACCGAGAGTGTCTGAATACAACAAGATTAAAGGCGGCTAAAATGTTTAATTAGGTTTTTATAACTAAGGGTTCATTTCTGCATAAACTAAAAACATAAATTTTATTATAAAAAATATTTTTTTCAATTACAATTTGAAAGTTATTTAATCATAATAAACATGAAAGGAATAATAAATTTGAAGGCGGCCAGCAACTTGGTTTTTGTTTGGTGATAGGCAGAAAGGAATTTGGGGTGTAATGTTTAATTAAACAATAAATTTAGGTTAAAGGACAAAAATTAGATATAAAAATTTGGAATTACGCATTTGGATGAATCCAAGTCAAGGTCAACTATACGGTTTCGGTTCTTTCTATGAAAAATTGAACCGGTCAAACTCATATCCCTAAGCAACCTCTCCTGCTTTTGTCATTTAAAAGTGATCCGATTTTCCACCATATCCAGGGTGGATACAAGTTTTCTCACCCTTCAATTTATATATATATATATTTCTTTATTAGTATCTTAAAATTTTAAAAAATTCATCTTTTAATATAAAATTATACGTGTATTCTCTCATCTAAGGTTGTTTTTATATAAGATAAATTACATCAATCATCACTGAAATTTACTCTATCTCTTATTTCAGTCATTGTATTTTAAATCTGTTAAAATGACATCATTTTGTATCTACATAACAACTCATTTATAATTTCGTTTAGTGAGAAAATGGTTTAACGACAAAAAATGCTAATTATGTTAAGTTCATGAGTAAATTGAATAAATGTAAAGTATAATAAATAAAATAAGAGAGAGAATAAAATTTAATGATGATCAGTGTGATTTACCCTTTTATGCAGTGGAAGAGTACCGTATTTTGTGAATTAACTACCATTTGTTCAGTTGAAATTTAGTAATGTTATTTTTATAATATGATTTTATTTTAATTAAATATTTGATGATTGGTAAGGTGAACAAGCGTGGCAGTGGAGAAGACCAAAGCTAATAACTAATAAGAAAAAACTGATATAACAATTTTCACTAGCTTATACCAATGTTCAACTTAATCGCATAAGCAGGGTCTTATTTTATATCATTGTGGGAAATAATAAAAATTATTATGATTTATGATTTAGAGTTTAAGAATTTAATTATAAATTTAGAAAAAATAACAGTCTGACCAGGAGCTTACCTTCAAGCTGCCACAACAAGAACCAAATATTTCCATGCACGTTCAAATTGGGGTTGTTGTTCTTGTGGAGAAACCTACGTTTCACCCATTTTTAAGGTTTAATGTAAAAATAAATGTCTAAATTATATTTATAGTTAATATTAAATGTCTAAATAAATTTTTATTATAGTGCTTATACGACAACCTTTGAAAGTTGTCAGGACTACACGACGATATAAAAGATTATGATTTTAGGTAGAAGTCATCGTATAATCCAAACGAATTTAAAAAATGACAACTTCACCATATAATATAGCAAAGATTCTAATTTCGAAAATAATTTCTAATATACATTATATTAGCTATTTTTTTTCTTAATAAAGGATCAAGCATTTCTTAGTCACACATTTCCGTCTTACATTTTAGAAGATTTGACTAGATCGACATTAAACTCTCCGATCACAATAGAAGCTAGATTGACATATTTTATTGGTTCTTCATGCTTTATTCTCGATGGCAAGCAGCAGCACGTTTCCATCGCCTATTTGAGGCTGCATGTAAAATCAATCAACCAGTTTTCAAAATCAAAGATTATGATTTGCTTTCACGATAAAAAACAACAAAAAGAGTATGTAGAAGAAGAGATTTACGTGTCGCAGTTAGTGGTAGGATCAATGGGAACAAGAACACTAACACCACATTTTTGAGGAAGATGTTTAGCTACAGTTACCAACGTGCCAAAGTGGTTGTAGCGGCAGTGGCGGCATTGATGTTAGTCTCCGCTTGACTGCGCGGAGGATGAGGGTCGACTGCTCTAACGCCGGTGAAGTAAGGGTGACAAACAAGGCAGAAAGGCTGTTGTTGCATCTTCACATGACATTGCATCCACGATTTTTGGTTGCGCAACCAAAACCACGATTGATCCCAAACCCCCGAGAGACCAAGACAAACCCATCCATTTCTTCTCCATTATATAGTCCTAAGAAAACGTGTTTGCTGTTCCTATTTATAGGGATAACTTTGGATTCTCTCATTTTATTTCGAGTTTATAGTACTTAGTAGACATAACTAATGTCAAATTTTCCTTTTTGGGAGACCCATTCATTCTCCTATGGTTTCATATCATATTTTCCCTTTCAGATTTCGATAATAAATGTTTTAAGATTCTTTTTAATGGGATATAATTTCTCTTTTGAATCTTTGATTGGGCTTATTATGTATAGAGGGTCTTGTCTAGCGCTCCAATAAGTTCAAGGGTTGATTCTTTTCTTTTATCTCATTTTTGTCTTGAAGTTTTGGCATAGAATTATAGATTTGATATTTTTTTCATCATTATTGATTCTTAAAATCATCAATATTGATATACAACATGTGAGGTAATGATTTATGACATTTTATATTGTGAGAAACGGGAGAAAAATTTATCAACCACTGCTTATTCACCACTCACGACAAGAAAACATATTTTAAGTAACACTAAAAATGATCATTAAAAGTATTAAATTTAGTCACAGAATATCATAGAAATAAAAGTTGTTACTTGTCGTCTCTAATAGTTATGACACTATTATATTAGTGGCGACTTTAATGAATTTTGTAACTATTGCTTATGTTTTTCGTGACAACGTTTTCTGGAGGAAAAACAAGATTAATCACAATGACGAAAATCTAGTCATTAATATTATCCTTATTAATTTTTGTTATTTTATCACAACTACATAATTAAATTGATTAATTAGAAAAATTCATTATGAAATTAATTATAGTAAATATTACATTTTTAGTTATCCATCTACTTTAGGAACTTGCAGTGTAATTATTGTCTTCAGTTAATTATTCGTTAACTATAGATGAAGTGACATATACACATGTTTATTCTTTTATATAATCACCGATATCCGATTTATTAATCCACTAATCCAAATTGGATTGTACAGAGACAAAAACGACCATCCCAACTCAATTTGCTTAAAGGATTTAGTATCTCATCCCGCTAGACTAACTGGTTGTTGATTCCACACATTGATTTTTAATAAATTTATACAATACATGACTTTTAAGATGATTGAACCTGAAACCTTCAAGAGAGAGTGCAACACCTAACCACTATGCTAAGAAAGAAATATTTATTTTTGATAAAGTTAATATTTAAATTAAACTATTATTGAAATTAATTTATTTTATGAAAATACATTAATTATAATATTAATTATTATAAAATAATTTAATTAGATTTTATATGATTTCTCATATAAAATATATTTGTTAAAGAAAAATCTAATATATAATTAGATTGGTTTTAATATATATATATAAACCTAAAATAATATTAAGTGTCCTTAAACTATATTTAATTAAAAAATAAATAGTAAACTTAATAGTGAGAAAATGTTATTGTCACAATTATGAATAATAACAGTAATCACTTTATATATTATGAGTATTACATCGTTTTCCGTAAAACGTTGGTGCAATTTGAATATTTATTAGGGATCAAATAGAAATAAGACACAATCATTTACTTTAATAGTGACAAAAACAATTCTTGTTACAAATCACCAACTAAAACTAGTAACAAAATATTGTCGCTATTACAATTTTTCCCCCGAAAAATAAGTTGACACCAATTAGAACATTTTATTAATGACTTGCTTCGATTACAATAAATCACTATCAATTATGAGTTATGTGTGATGTACTTTAAAATTGTCACATTTATTTCTTAAAGAGTGACCAAATAAAAAAAAGCCACAACTATTTGTTTCAAAAGTGAAAAAAAATCACAAATATTCTACTTTCTGATTATTTTATTTGGTTCAAATAAAAGTAAATTGCTGATTATAAAATTAACAGAAAACTGTCCATGAAACAAACCTTGAAACAGAGTAACCAGCATCTTGAAATAGATGAATATATACACAGAAATAGGGGTGTAAACGAGGCGAGTCGAGTTCGAGTATTACTTAGCTCGACTCGACTCGAAAACTCTGAAATTGAGCTTGACTCGACTCGAAAACTGACTCAAACTCGAAATCCTGAACTGAAGCTCGTGAGCAGCTCGAAAAGGCTCGAAATAAAAAAATTCTTAAATTTAACTAGATTAAAGCCTCAAACTCAAACTCCAACCTGAACCTTAAATACATGAGAGTTTTATTGTATTTAAAAAATTGTTAATATTATTAATAATTTATTTTAAAAAAATAAAATCTTAATATATTATTTTTTCGAGGTGCTCACGAATTTTTCGAGTCGAGTATCAAGTAGCTCGTTTCGGCTCGTTAAGAATTCGAGTCGAGTCCATTCGATCCGAGTATTTATCGAGCCTTGACTGAGTCGATCTCGAGTAGCTCGCGATTTGTCTCGTTTACAGCCCTACACAGAAATAGAGAGCAAAGCAAAAAAACATGCTGCCAAAATAGCAGAGCCGAAGCTTCCCTTACTGCATATCCCCTCAAGCTTGCAATGCCTCCCAACAATATGGAACTTGGTGTCGTGTATTGCAGCAAAAGCACAAATCTGTACATTGAACTATCAGAGATTAAACGATTCCATTCGTTAGCCACATAAATGAGACAATCCCCCCCAAAGGAAGTATCAAAAGCCTAGCAACAACGATCCCGATCGTCGTTCGAACCCTGAGCCTTGACTCATCCGGTCCTTCCCATAACATTCCTCCGAGCACCAGCATAACAGCGGGTACTATTTCCTTGGAAATAATGGCCATACTGTCTGCAATGAAGTCTAGAGGAGCGTCCGAACTTTGTAATGATGCCAATAAGAACGGTTAGTACAGTAGCAATCAATGGAGTGTCTAGAATTTGATTGAAAGGCGTATGTTGTACAACAATTCTCTTCTTTCTGACTGCGTTAGGCTCAGCCATGCACCTATATGACTCGGGGCTAATCAGAATTTCGTCTCGAATCGATTCGACATCCGAAATATCGGATCGAGATGGATTGAACAGGGCTGCAACTAAGGGTGTTCTGCAGTGTTCGGTTTTGTGTTAATAGATCCTGGTCCATTCGGCTTGGATAAGAAGTGGAGTACTGAGGTCGTTCCCTGCAGGCAAATTAGGCAATTCTTCAATCTCAGACCTTTCCTCAACAACCTCATAGTACTCCGATGGCGGCTCCATCATGTGGTAAACGAGAGTGTAAACGAGAACAACTGAAACCCAATGTGAGAAAGCTGCAAACGCAACTCCATCATAGCATGTATCACCAAAAGGATTATCTTCATTGCGGCACACCGATGAAACCACAGCAATGGAAATGTTTCCGGTGTTTCAGAAGGCTGTAATGATCACGGTGAGACGAAAGATGGCGGTCGACATATTAATGCCACTATGAACACCAGTACGGAACCGATGACTGTACTGATGATAACATTCGTTGGAGTGAAACACCAGTGGATGAATCTGGTGCGAGTAATGACTGGACCGAGGTGGGTGAATATGAGACACGGCCAGAATAGAAAGAAAACAAGCTTGCTTAGAAGCTTAAGTTTAGGTTTTGGGATCATTTGGATTTCGTGGTGGGGAAGAAGAAGTCCTATTCTCTGTTTTGAAAATCGGATCGGACCGGTCGGTTCAACCGGAAAAATCGTTGCTTAATCTGATTCAATCTAAAACAGTTGAACCGCTATTAGTGAACCGGCCAGAACCGTTGAACCGTTCGAACCGGACCGGCTGAAAATCGGAAAAATTAAACCAAACAACGTCGTTTGTTAAACGAGCCAAGTCGAACTCGAGTATTGCTGAGCTCGACTCGAACTTGAAAACTTTAAAAGTAAGCTCAACTCAACTCAAACTCACAAGCTAAAAATTATCAAGTTCAACTCAAACTCGAAATATAATATTGAAACTTAAACTCAAAAAGGCTTGAACTCAAAAAAAAAAATTAGAAGCTCGATTGAAGTCTAAAATTCGAGCTTGATTGAAGTGAAATAATAGTTCACTCAATGCTCACAAAAAGGCTCCATGATTTTGAATGTCAAATTACCTCTATTATTTATATAAATTAGTTGTGATGAGCTTCTATGTTTCTTAGCAATGTGAGATTGTTTTGTTCTCATATTTGTACTCTTTAGACTTTTGGGATGCTCTTTTATGTTTCTTAGCCATGTGAGATTGTTTTTAAAAAAAAATTAAACTAAACAATATCATTTTGTTATGATTTTTTTAACCAAATTTTTAATTAGTTATATAATTATATTTATTATTTAATATATTTTACCTTAAATATTATGTTGTAGTTAATTTGAATCATTTTGTTTCACTTGGTTTTATGGTTTTTAACTTTTAACTTAAATATTATGTTGTAGTTAATTTGAATCATTTTGTTTCACTTGGTTTTATGGTTTTTAACTTATATATGTTATGACTTGCGATATAAAAAATTATTTTTATTAAATATTTTTGGTATTTTTATTTAATATTTTAAAAAATTATGATGTCGTCCGATTCTTCAGACCGGTCAGACCGGTTCGACCGGTTGAACCAGTAAACCAGTGACATGGCCGATTCACTAACCGATCCGATTATAAAAACCATGGTCCTATTAGAGCTATCGAAAGGAGTTTCAGTCCAGGCAAAACTGCTTCAACTACAGTCTCTGTTGATTTCATGTCTACTGCAAATGAAAAGAACACTGAACACCCCACTTTCTTAAATGGAAAAACAAAATTTTAACAAGGAAAAAGACTTCTTTTTATGAACCATAAACTATGAAAGAAAGAAAGAAAAATTTATCAGATAAAACAAGGAGAAAATAACCTCAGTGATCAAAAATGTCTTATAATATACGATTTTAATCAATTTTTTTTTGGATTTACCAAAATGACCAACTAAATAGCAATGCAATCGATAATTCGCAACGCGATCTCCGATATCGCAAATCAGTTTCCAGATTCGCAACGCGAACTTGGACTATCGAAATGCGAATTACGCGAACTTCGACTATCGTATTGCG